AAAAAAAAAAAAAAAACCTGCCCCAAACTGAGAGTTCGGGGGTTTTTGGGGGGTGGCCTGGGGGCTGGGAAAAGTGGGCATCGCGGCCGCGGCCGCCGCGGCCCCGGCCGCCGCGGCTCCGGGTCTGGGAGCGCCAAGTGCCTCCGGTCGAAGCCCTGGTCCTGGCGCAGACACGAGACGCGACACGAGGCGACGAGACGCCACACAGGCAACACCGCCACAGGCAGCGCTCCAGCGCCGGGGCCTGGGCCTGGGACCCCATTGAAAGCTGCCGTAAGAGGCGCTGCCTGCCCGTGCATCCATGCAGATTCAGATCCTCACTCTGCTGTCTAAGTCGTCTTTTCAGCCTGCGAAGGTGGCTTGGAAGGGAGCGTAGCATTGGCCACCTCAGCTGGGCGCGACGTGAGGAATTTCAACGTGACACCCTTCGCTCCCTGGATCAAGCGAGGCTGTCACAGGGTCCTCTTCCTCAAGATTATCGCGCCCTCGAAATCTGGGACCACCCGCGGTGTCGTAGCGCTCCCCCGCCATGTGGGCCTCCGGTGCGGCACTGTACCTTGGAGTCGCGCTCTGCAACACGAAGGTTTTAGGGCTGGTCACGGTTCTCCGGGCTTCTTACGTGCCATAGGGTGCTCGAGCACTCTGGAAATGTGAAGTCAACGTCGGATGAGCTGGAGGATTTGCATACCTGAGATCTTCGCGGCATGAGCGAGTCTTGAATTTGAATGCAACCGAAACCGTCAGCTGCCAAGCTCACGACCCAGCCGGAGCCTTCGCCCCGCGAGCGTTGTTCGCAGCCTTGCCCAGTGACCAAGGCAAAGATGAGCCTCAGCCTCCCTTTTTGCTCCAAGAGGCTGGAGCTCGTGTCTGTGCATACCTGCCATGACGTACAAACCGACGGCACTTTTTCTGAACAGCAAAGCTGGCCAAAGTTACTGATCGCCCCACTCCGGAGCCCGCTGTCTGCCTGCGCCGCCACCCCGCTCGAGACTTTCTGAGACTTCAGATTCTGCGACTGACGAAAGAGCAGCGCAAAAAGGCAAGAAGCCTGTGCCAGGTCCGTGGTAGTTTGCTTGCCTCCGTGCTTCCGCATGCTTCCGCGTGCTTCCGCGTGCTTCCGTGCACTGAGGCTCGTCCGAAACGGAGAAACCGGCTCAGGCTAGAACCTGTCTGGCGGGTTGTGGCCCGCAGGAGCCTTGATCCGTCGCCATGTGGTGTACGGCTACCCTTTCCCTTTCCTCCTTTTTCTCCGCTACCAGGCTGCCGGGGCCCGAGCGTGTGACGCTTGCCAGATGTCTCGCGCAGCTTTGCGATTGCGCGCCTGGCGCCGAAGGCCGTCTCAAGAGAGGACTTCACACGGGCTTTATCGGGGCAAAGGACAGAAAAAAGACGCGAGACTGAGCATTTCAGCGCGGTGCCGAGGGCCTTCTCTTCCTCGGCCGAATGCATTCCTGGCAAGCACACGAATCTCATGCAAGCACTATATAGACTGAGACTGAGAAGCCCTCCTGGCCCAGTGGCTGTGCTACCTGCAGGCCGAAAGCGGGTGACATGATATGAACAGAGAGCCGCTGCGCCAAGCTGCTGGGCGGGCACTGGCTAGACATGGCTGGAATGGGTGGCCTCAGCCCATGGAGGCTACGATGGCTACGAGGACCATGACAAACTGAGGCACCAGCAATTCCTGCCCTTTGGCGATCTGGAACAAATCGGCGACCTCAGAGCACGTGTAAAGATTCTGCAAGCCCGTGTAAGTAGGCACTTCCGTACGGCTATAAGGATTCGGCTGTTACCTTGTTCGGAACATTCGCGGAAGGTTCCTTACGACGCGATCCACACAATGCTTGAAGAAGGTTATTCCTACGAGTCACACAGAACCTGGGATTGCAGCATGATGGGATACTGGTTCTTTCTGCCTGTTCCATGAAAACAGAAGCCCGGCTTTCAATCTCAGCGAAGCGAAGCCAAAGCAGCGCAGCAGTTGCCTGGCGCCGATCATGGAGAGGATCTGGCTGCCGGCGCTGTTGGTGCCGTGCTTCTGTGAATTGGACTGCGACTGCTGCGCCTAAAAAAGGGCACTGACAAGGACACATGTCACATTTTCAGACGACGCAGAAAGAGACACTTCTCGGCCAGCCGCGGCCCCGGCCCTGTCGTTCCAGTAGGAGCCTTTCCCTGCCTTTCAAAGCTGCTTTTTTCAGGTGATCGTGCGGGCACGGCCCGCGTGGCCCAAGGAATCGAGCGCCGGGCATGGGCTGAGGGGCCGGCATGGGCTGAGGGCCTCAGCGGCTTCCAGGCTTTAAATTTGGGGAAACTCCCCAAAGAGCAGCTTCAGAGCCGCCCTGAGTTCAGCCACGGATTCCGCATCTGCGTGCTGCCCACGTGATTTCCGTGGAGACCGCCGTTGCCGTGGGCATGGTGGGTGGCATGGGCGTGGCCACCTGTGAGGACACCTGAAGTGACGGGCTGCACGTGCTCAATTTACTCAGCTCAGCGGCTCAGCCTGGCCTGGTGTCACTGGCTGTGCAGTAGGCCTGCGGCCAAGAAACAGGGAGGCGACTGTGCCGCACGGGGCCGGTGTTGGGGCCCGGGGCCCGGAAGTGGACGTTGCACCGGGCCTTTCAGCGATGGGCGCCAAGGGCGCTGCCAACTTTGGAGCAGGCCTCGGGATTCTTCCGAGACCCTCCTTCCAAAATGAGAGCAGGCGTCGCAGAGTCGTGCGTCGCATCCGCAAGGAAAAACCATGTCGCAAGGATGCAGAGCAGCAGCGGCGGCACAAAAGCAGAATCATCATGAACGAGAGCCGGAAAGGTCATCACCAGTATCAACGTCACACGGTCTTCATCTATCGCAGCCACCGCCACCGCAGGGAGCACGGCCGTGCCCAACACAGCAGCAGCTGGCAGTTGCTGAGGCGCCGGCGCAGGCGCTGTAACGACGGGCAAGGGTGTAGGCGGGGGCGCAGGAACGCTGACAACCGGCACTTCGCTTCGACGCACTTCAAACTCCTCGTCGTCTTGCTTCACCTGCACCGGCTGCACCGGCTGCTCTATCACATCACGCAGTTCTCAACAACTAGAGACGTCTCTTCCCGCAAACTCTTCTTGCCGATATCACGCCTCGGGCGATGGCTTGTCATTGGCAAACCACCTACTGAATCCTGTCAGGGATTGCAGCTGCACACCCAGCGAACCACCCCAAATGCAGGCCTCGAGATTGCTGCTTGTCCTCCTGCAAGGAATCTCCCAGTGCTAAACCCCCCCGGAGTTTCCCTAAACTGCAGGTCCTTCGGCACCCCCTCTCGAACCTGGACTTCGGGTTCAGGGGCCTCAGAAGTTGCTCCCGGCTCAGGCGCCCAGACATCATGTCATGGCTGGGTTGCTGACGGTCAGTGGTACGTGTTGCACTGGCGGCTCACGGATACCGTTGCGCTCACCTTAGGGATTTCACCCCAGCTGAGAGCTCTGAGCCGCGTCTAAGCCCTGCTGTACCCTGCTCTTCAGCACAGCATAATCCCAGCTTGGGACTCGTGGTTGTCGGCGCAGGCGGAGCATTGTACTGCGAAGCACAGAGCAGCAGTGTGCAACTTGGGATGAGTGAGCCCACGTGACTCAGGACCAGATATTGCATGGCCGTGGCTGCAGAGCGACGGTTGCTGAAAGTCTTCGGCAATTACACAAAGGAGCTGCATTGCCTTTCGAATGTCGCCCAGCGTGCAGTCCAGCAAACCTCACAGGGCAGGTCTAGACCTGACACCGTGATCCTTCAGAGATGAACTAAAGAGACATGAACCGGCGCATGAGATACATACGAATCTGGACTTGCCGCAGTGCGACGTTTGAGCTTGGACCAAAGCAACAACTATATTCATGCTAAACTTTTCTGCCGGAGGAATGTGAAAAGCCTACTATCTATCATAATATATATATATATAGAAAAAAATATATATATATATATAGTCATCGTATGTCGTGATCGTCTTCGTCTTCAGCCCATGACCATCTAGCACCCCCACAAAGCGAGGCAAGACCAACTGCCAAGCAGAAAGCTAGGGAATGCTTGATGAGCCACTCCGCAGTCGGCTTAGCCGGCACTCGCGGAGATCCTGAGGTCAGAACTGCCGCCATCGTTCACCGCGGATGTGTCCGGCATGTCCCATTGGGGTTCTGGCTCGTCCTGGCTGAGACTCCACTCCCTTACAATGGCCCTTCGCAGAACAAACAAGCCATCCAGACGTACGTGTTCCAAGGATCAGCCTCCAAGAGAAACATGTTCAGAACTGCAGACTTGTCTCTCTCTACTCTATATATGGACTCTACACACTCCGTGACGCGGAGCACCTGGGTGCCGTGGGCGCCATAGCCCCAGGTGCTCCACCTGAAAGGACGAAGGGACTCAGAGCCATGCAACTCAGAGAAAGGAGCGCCTGGAGTCCCGGTCGGTCCGGTCGTGCCAATCATGTCGTTCCCTTTCCTTGGCTGATAAATTCCCCGAGACGGTCCCGGCCCGGCCAAGCTTTTTTTCCCCTGGTTTCTTCTCTGGAAAGAGCCCTTTCTTTGCCAGGCTTCGTGGCGATTTTCGCGGCCGTGCCGCTCGTGGCGATTCCGCCATTTCTCGCTCTGGTCCTCGAAAGAAGGCGGAGCGGATGCACTAAAGGAAGATCCCTCAGGTGTTGGTGCACATACATCATATGTAACTGATATCTATGTCTAACTATTGATTATATAATGTATAGAGAGACAGAGAGAAAGGGGCGCGAGAGCGAGAGAGAGACACATTGTGTGAAGTGTGTGTGTGTGTATCTACATGTATGCCCACATGTTATTGATATAAAGAGAGATGCAACGAAAACTATCAGTAGGCGTCTATGCCAGAAGGCCTCATGACATGCTGCACCACTTGAGGCAGTTGCTTTCTTCAACATTTTAGTTGATTCCAATGTAGCACTTTGTTTCCGCAGGAACTTCAAAGCCAACACTGACACCTCTGATAACATTGGTCTGTACTTCTCGGGAAGTGTCCTCATGTTCGAACTCATGCTCAAAGTTGTTCCTCCGTCCTGTCAGATGCCGGTGCCCAGTCGAATGCTTCAAAAGGAGCTTGCTCTGCGATTTCGCCAATTTCACCAGCTGGTAGCTTCGGATTCTGAACGCATGGCGACAACAACGTGCCTTCACAGCGCCCTGTCCCAACAGTTCCCCGCCTCGATCGCGGTCCCCGCGGTCTCCACCGCGATCCCCGCGGTCCCCGCGGTCGCGGCGACGGGCTGGGCGGTCATCTTCGCCATTTTCCTGAGGCTCCAACTTTGCCATCACGATCCGTTTCTGCAGAGCCTGCTGCTAGGCTGAGGGGTCCTTGTCGCCTTTTGTGCGCAGAATTTGTCCGTTGTCCTGCATGGGCGATTCTGAACTGAAGAGAACTTGTGCGCTTATAAGCGGAGTCGCGCGCGAGACGGGCTGGCCAAGAACCTGATCGATCGACTGGTCGAAGTTCATTGGCTTCACCTTAGATCTCGGCACAGGGCACAACCCATCCCCACATTTTGGCGGCACCTTCACTTGAATTTGTCCAGTATACGTTCCCCGGCAGCTTCGTGTTCGGAACTGGTGGTGTAGAGACAGAGCTATGCGAGGCCCTGTCTCGACCGATTGGGTCGACAATAGACCGATAGACAGTATCCTAGTTTTGCCAGGGCCCCACACCCATACAAACGTGGTGCAGTAGGGTGCGAGGTGGGGTTGGGTGGGTGCGATGTCTCACTGAATCTCGCTAGACTAGCATGGACAAGCGCTACTCAAGCTGCATCTTCATCTGAGACGGCAACATGAGATTGCGGCAGATCCTTCAGTATCATCAAATCATCCTTTGAAAACTGCGCCCACCTGGCACGTCAGGGAAGTTGCCGGAAACGCAGGCTCAAGTTGCTCAAGGCTTTTGCAGTAAACCGGACACGGGTACAGGCGCTCCCTCTGCTGCGCAGCCTGCACACATTGTGACATGTGGGCGGAGGGCCCGGAGGTCTCCAGCTGCGCTTGCAGAGCCGCTGGCCTCTGCAGCCTCTGCTTCGAGCGCCTCCGTAGTCTCCGGAGCCTCCGCCAGGCGAAGTGCCTGTGACAGAGAGCAATTGTGGCATCGACTCTGGGGCGTTTTGGGCGAGCTCGCCGAGCCCGGCCTCACCATTGTTCTCGGCCACTTCAACCTGGCGCGAATGGCCGCAAGCCGCCGGTCAGTCTCACTGCACGGTCCGGGCGGGTCCGGGCTTTGGGCCTGGTCGGACTCCGGCATCCCATGGGCTCCGACTTCAAAACTGACCTGTAAGTAAGGCAGCCGGGGCCTGGGGGACTTTTGAGAAGGCCGTGGCATGGCGTGGCAACAGGCAACCCCGCCTCAACTCGGTCTTCAACCTGGCTCGGGTTGGCCATGTCCATGCTGTCACCGTCCATTGCTGGCTTCTTCACTAATCTGCAGCACACAAAGAGCAAGGAGAATGTCGCCCGATGTCGCTTGCAGGTGCTTTGTTTGTCTCACAATGATTCTTTTGAAGTCATGTGCCAGTGCGGTGCAGCAGGATGGATGCCGAGTAAGAGAGGGTGCGTCGGCTGAATCGTGTCGCAAAGTGCGTTCATGTGCCACGGCTCGAATGGGCTGCGGTGAGATGCAAGGCTTTGAAGCACGAACCGTGCTCGACGCTACGACAGCCCAGGGCAGCCTAGAGCTTCAGGGTCACTGCGGTTCAACTGCCGTTTGACCACTCTCGTCCTCACTGCGTGGTATTCCATTCGCTCAACCCTTCAACCTCAGATCACCGAAATTTGAGGCAATCGAGGAAGAATAGGGCTGCCCAGGCCTACCAAGCCCCTATATTGCAGTGCTTCTGGCATCAACCATGCCAAATGCAGCACCTGGCCTCGAAAACCATGACGACGAGGATGGTGATGATAGGAAGACTAACCAATTCAAAGCAAAAGCAATGATTCGGTTGATAGATGATCGCAAAAGTCCTGGTGGCAAGCACAAACCTTCTTCTTCGGATCTTTCGGGAGGGTTTGGAATACAAGATCACCCCCCCCCCCCCCCCCCCTGTTTTTTTTCGCAGTCGCCGAAAGCGGTCTTGGCTCCTTAGGGAGCTGGGCAGCTGGGAACGGAAGAAGGCTCTCCTTCTCCTCGCTCCCAGGGCCTCCCTGGGCCTCCCTGGTCGCCGCACTTTTCTTTTCTGAAAAAGGGCCTTTTGGGGCTTTGGGTGAGACAAAAGCGCGGCGCCCCAAAAGAGCAGGCAGCACCTCTATGGTACAATTTTGAAGCGGTTCAGAAGGGCAGAAGGGCCTTGGGCTCCTTCCTCCGACAGCTGGCCATGTGTCTCAGCACATACTCCTCCAAGACTCTCCGCATTGTCTGCAGAATGACCTGCCGTGTAGCAGAGTTCCGGATTGCCCCTGCGCATGGTACTGTAAGAAACAGGCCCCAAACATAGTGCAGGAGTTGCCGTGCCTGATCCTTTGGATCCCTCATCGATGGCTGCAGTGCTCGCGCACCCAAGCATCGCGCTTTTTCTGGTGCTGGCCGATCTTTCGTCACAACGCCTTCAGGCAACGAGCCACCACTCCGAGACACTCTTGGGTGCTGCTTTACGGGTCTACGCTTTGCTTCTGGGCCCGGCACCTGAGAAGCCGCTGTCAGGATCTATCCACCACTCTCCCCCTTCGCCAGCTGCATCCACCATAGCCTCCGGGCTGTTTGCCAGGCACCACCTTACATGAGAATGTGCCCAAGCTTCCAAGCAGTGGTCTATGGGATCTATGGATGATATACGTTTATGGGGCAACTAGAAACGGCCACGAGCTTCAGGACCGTACACGGATCATAGTGAAAACGATGATTCAAGTTGAGATTCTCGAAAAGGAAACAGACCTCGTCGCATAGCGGAGCATCACAGGTGCCAAGCGCAAAAGCTTTGACCGTACTCTGCTTGTAGCTTGCAACCTTCTCGAAGATCCCCTCGTCTCTCATGAGGGTTTCTGCGTATTTCTGAAGTCCGCGGGGGTCGTTGGCCAGGGGCACAATCTCCCTGAATCGACTCTGCTCCTCCTCTGTCAAGGTGTTGCCCCGGAAGAGAGACCACTTCTCGGGACGGATGAGGTTGCCTTGGAACTCCTGGTGGCAACAACGCATCAACGTGCTCACAAAGAAAGATCTCTTGGGGACACTCTTGGGCTTGGGCGGCTTGGGCGGGGCTTGGATCTGGGTCCTCTGCAAAGACGAAGATCGCTGCTGCCAGGAGCGGTTCAGCCTCTGATAACCTCTCTGCCAGCGTCGGCGAGGCGAAGCTGTCTGCACTGGCAGTGACCGGGTCAGCTTCAGCCTTGCCGAAGAAGACAAACTTCGAGATGTCAATCAGGGGTTGGGACTTCGCGATCTGGCAGACGTAGTCCAAGTCCCTGGGTTCCATGCCGGTGGTATTGAAAGAGCCAGTATACATCACCACGTGTGCTCGCTTGCAGAGTCTTTCGAAGGCATCTGGATAGCGGGTCTCAACTGCGGAGAACCTTGGAAAGGGAGACAAGGAGCTTCTGATTCTGGGCCACATCTTTCAGCCCCGATGCTACGTACAGTCTACAGGAAATCGCCCCCCCCCCCCCCCCCCCAGGAGTCGCCAAAGCGCAGATCACCTAGGTGACCGCGTCCAGGTGCGATGATGTAAAGATCTAGCTCTGATTGCTCTGGCTCCTCTCCCTTCGGCTTTGTGTCGCCTCTGTCTACGAGGCGACTGATCTCCTCAGGGGCAGCAGAAAAGAGATGAGGCCTCTCCGTGTATGATTTATCAAGCTGATCAGAGTCATCACGAGCCGTAGACGAAAAACAGAGGGCACCAGCCACTCGGCACAAAAAGCCTAAAAAAAGCAGTATGATGGTGTATAAAACCCCACCGATACAGTAGCCTTTGGTCGTCCTCGCCTCGGCGGGCACAGCCAAGGAAGCTTCTCGGCGATCCCAAAGCGCTTCGGCGAGCGGATGAACCTCACCCGAAGCTCAGCTCCCAGCAAACAGCAAGGGTCAATAGGGGTTGCTTTACGGTACATATATATATATATATAAGGGTGTCTAGAGTATATAGGGTTTTGAGGGGATCGTGTATGCAGGGCATAGTAGCAATGAAGTTGAGGGTTTACGGGATATGGAGTTTGGGGCTTCGATTCTTTGTCGAGGGCTTTCGGACGAATTGTTGAATTCCCGGCTCGCTTCGGTTGAAGCTTCTTGCACGCCTGAACATGGGTACGAAGACATGCAAAACAGCCCTGAACCCTGCAAACCCCAAAGCCCCATAAACCATAGCCATCTTCTTGTCTCTGAGGGGCCGTCTTGTCATAGTAGGTCGAATTCTGAGAGCATAGAATCTGGAAGTCTTTGCCAGGCTCCAGGCCCAACATGAGCCGAGCCATCAACAACCTCAGCAGTGCATCCTCCTTGGGACAGTTCGGGCTTACGGGCTTCTGGTCGCGTTCGGGCTGCTTTTCAGAAGACTTCGGTCGGTGCAAATTCATGCCAACAAGCCTAAATTCCGAGCCCTCCAACACAAAGGAGCTTTTTCTCGAAGACGGTGCAGCCGTCTTTGTGCGCGAAGTCGGCACCAAAGATGATCACCGGCCTGGTGCAGCTCTTATGGTCTCTCATGGAGATCATGTTCGGCCCTATTTCCTACATAGAGAAGCTAGGGCTTTGTCAGAAGCAGATGAATTCTCTTCGCAGATCCCAACACTGCCTCAAGAAAACACACACACAGACAAAAACATGATATTCAAATAAAGAACGAAGGAATACATGGACCTACATAGCTCTACCGGCCCCCGCAGCCTTGCCCTGGATCCTCTGAGACCCAGCCGCTCCAGCTTCCACTCCCAGAGCTGAGCAATCGCCATCAAATCATCCACCTGACACGAAAACAACCGACGCTCTCCCACTGCATTTTCTTCGTGCTCACCTGCTGCAGAGAGGAAGGGCTCAGATCGCGGGGGGCCGGGAAGGCACCGCGCACAACTACACATGTGTATATATATATATATTATGATCGGCACGCACTCTGTCATCAACTGTATGTAAATATTTTCTACAAAAACTAGACGTCATCAGTGCCTCGAAGTCCGAGTAGATGATCAGAGGAAGCAGCTCTGCTGCTTCCCTTCCTTCGGCGCAAGATCAGAGCATCAAAGACAGGGCTAGCAGTTAGCACACCCAAAAGGACCTCAACTCAGCCCTGCTTGGTCCAGATCGCGATTTCGAATCCTACCTCCGTCCTCCGTAAGGCCATATCAGCCATATGGGGTGTCCGAAAATAGGGAACCCCCCTAAATAGCAGGCTCCTGATTATAAGGAACCCAAAATACGGTATCTTATGCCAACTTTTCAGACTTCCTTTTGCGGAGGGGACAAGCGAGGCTCCGGTGCCATCTGCGCCATTGGGCAACCACTCTCCCAGGCGTATCTGCAGAGGCGGAGAGACGTCAGAAGTAGCAGAAAACCCCAAAAGGGCGAAGTCCGCTCTATCGACTCGTACAGGTAGGATTGTGTGTCAGATTGTGTGTGTGTGCGTGAGTTCATATATATATATATATAAAGTATATGGATAATTTCTGGATATGGTAACCCCCCTCAAAGAACCCACACCCGAGATGATCATGCACTACATCCATCCTTAAATCCAACGATTCCTGCGCAACAAGTCTGTAAGTATCGTAACAGATTTCACATTCCAAATCTTCCCATAAAAAAGGTACTGATACTTTCCATATTTAGGATTTCCAAACCTGCCGAAAGCTTCAAAACCTCGTCAACAATTCAAATTTTTCCGTCTGACGGAAATTCTGTGACTAAATGTTTGAGCGTGTTTGCAATTTGGGGAGGTTGTGGGATCTCTCGAACTTTGGAGGTTAGGAGGTTTGCAGTCTGCGCAAATTCCCAGATTTCGAGATCTGCAAGAGGATTCGAAAATTACAACCACAAGCAAGCACCTTGTCGTTGTAGCTGTTGCGAAGGCTGTACATGGCCAGTATGTCGACGTGCATTATATACAAGTTTTCCGAAACCCATCTACGAAACAAACTGGATGCTATGGTTGTCCTGATCTCTTGTCAAATATAGACAACACATTGTGGCGTAAAAACCACAGATTACTCATGTCTTAACCAGTTAGTATTCATTTGTTTCTATCAACTCAAGCAGTATTTACATCCATAACGTTTTCGGTAAGTTGTAATGCATATTAGCGATCTCAGTATTTCCTGCAATCTAAGTTGCAAGTTCAGTACGGCCCAACTAACGAAACCTTTAATATCCAAATAATGGATTATTCAATGATGAAAATAGGTAATGGAACACTGCAGCAGATAATACTAAGGTAGATAATCCATACACTTCGTAATTCTGTAGTTCAGCATTGGTTGAATTCTTCGAGATGTTGACCACCGCCTAGGGAGCCGAGACGCGCATTGCGAATCGTTGCTGTTGGCAGAATCAGATTCGGCATTGGCGCACCAGGAGCCGGTGGCAACGACACAGCAATCGGCTCAGCTGGATGCCCATGAAACCGGTTCCGTCTTGAACCAGCTGCCTGGAGAACTAGGGCGCGTTGGCCCATTCATCAGTCAAGAAGCTTCTCGCAGGCCTGCAGCGTCGAAGTGTTTCAATGTAGGGGTGAAAGCAAGCCTTTGTGCAGGCCAGATCACATCTTTTGCGGTGTCCTTGCATCCGCGACCTCAGAGCATGCTGCGATTCGGGATGATTAGCGCGCGATGCAGGTGTAGTTTTGCTAGTTTCGGGGAGGAAGGTCCGTGATTTATCCGTGCTCAGGAAGTCCCTGCCTCTGCTGGGATGGTGCTTTGCTGGCGACATCAGATCTGCGCGAGCAGCTAGAGCAGACTGCAAGGTGTCTTATGCCGAAAAGTTGCTGAACGGCGACTCGAAACGCCAAACCACACCCAACGCGTGCAGCTCCTCCCTGACTCTTTGCTGCTGCTGTTGCGAGTGCTCATATGGGCCGTCACCCACCTCCTCCATCAGGCCTCCTCCTGTGCCTCCTCCAGTGTCCTCTGGCCCCACCAGCACTCCTCCCCGCACCAGTTCTCTTCCACCTCCTCTACCCACCAAATACTCCGTGGCCACCTTCTCTGGCGGGCCCTCGCCACCCTCCTCTTCCACCTCCTCCTGGCCGCCGCCTTGTCCGCTGCTGTTGCGAGTGCTGTGGTGGCTGCTGGTGCGAGTGCTGCGGTTGCTGCTGTTGCGAGTGCTGCCCCTGTTGCAGTTGCGGGGTCGCGGCAGGCTGGCATCCGCAGAACAGCGAGTAGACCAAGTCGCCTTGGCGAATTGAAGTCTGCTTGAAAACTGACGCGTGCATGTGACTAACGGATGCTGGATGGCACGTGCTCTCGTTACTCGTTCGACACCTCAGCGTAGACAGTATGGACAAAATCATTCAGACAGGTGACATGTGGTCTGCGCCGCCGCGCTGGACTGCACCATCGCCCAGCCTCTCCCATCCACCAGTATGAGGAGCAACACACTACCTTTCTAAGATGCCTGTGTCAGGCGACCACAAGCTCACAGCTCCAAGAATTGAGAGCGACTCAAATTTTTTCGCCACCCACATCCAATAACAGATAATCACATAGGTCTCAATACTACGTGCTTCAATCATATATAAACTTGCTTGCATCCAGGCCTCTAGTGTGAGCCTGCTACTTCCGATGCTGAGGTCCCAACGAAGGCTCAAGATGTAGGAGCCTTCCCTACGCATTGAGAAACATCACGGAATGGCTAAGTACGTGACTTAAACCTGTTACAGGAACGGTGGTCAAAGCTCAACTACATGTGATTCAGTTAAAAAGCGAACAGTGCATGCATAGGATGGAGCAACATGTCAGAAAAAGCCAGGTTCTGAGCATACCTGGCAAAAAGCATGCCGTGGTAGAGGAGGCTCAGGAACATGCTGTTGCCTGGCTCACAAATGCCGCGGAAGCTGGTGAATGGCTATGTCAAAACTGTTGCATGCGTATCGTAGCTACTAGTTCAAGCATGCTATTTTTGAAAGTCCAATAGACTGCACGAACTATCAGGCGAATAATTAAACAAGCAACAAGGACGAGATTGTAGGCTGCCACGTGCTGCCTTGCCCATTATGCATCCTGCTTGCACAAGCATCAAGAAGTGCTTCCTGAAGCTTGAATTGAAGCCTCTGTGCCATCATTCTTCTAGACAGCACATATAAAGTCTGCTACAGATTCTGATCTACCCATGGGGTTACAGGGCCTCAAGAATTGCTGATGCCCTTTGGCCATTTTGCCCGCATTGAGCTGCTTGAACGTGGCGCTGGTCAGTTGCCGGTCGCATCTGCTGTTTGCTCATGGTCGCTCAGGGTTGCGCGTCATGCGTCCCACCCGATCGTGGGCACCATGCGTTTGCTCTCGTTCGCGGTGGCCTGGATGTATAGGTCGCTCTTGTATATCGGCGTTGCAACCACTCAAGCCGGAGCCAAACGTGACCAACGGCGTGTTGGGCTTGCTTGCCGATGGCCATGCATGTGAAGTAGATCTATCTCGTTGTGCAGCGATATGCGCTGCTTGTGACTGAGGTGTGGGATCCCCTTGGCCACCTGCACGTACTCGTCCTGCAAGCCAGCAATGTCTGCACAAAGCATCTCGATCACTCGATTCAGTTCGCTGAGCCAAGTTCGTTCATTCCCAGCTTAGAAGTCTGATGCCTCGTCTGAATCATCTACCGGAGGCCGGTGGACCTTGCAACAGCGATTCATATGACTGGGGCTAAACATACCGTTAAATACGAAAACATGAATACAAAACTACTCCCAGTAAATAGATTAAGTGACCACTTCAACTTTTCTTGATTTACATAACACTGCTACATACACTGTGTAAGCACTTTGAACTACGTAGCCAATTATCATGGTATAAGTTGTACATGCTCAGGCACCAATCCACTTATTCCTACGGCTGCTAGAATACTACAAAGTAGAAAACTGTGTAGCCCGATTCGGATCGCGTGCTGTGTACTGTGTACATGCCGATGGCCTTTTTCTGGCATAAACAGAATATTGAACAGACATGCATTTAGATGGACCCGTATGCAAATTGAAGATCTTGCTTTGGCAGTGGAGAGATCAAGCAAAGCGCCTAATGGAAACTATGAACACAACACTTTAAAACTGATATGTACCTAGTATTCCAGCTTATTATGTAAACTGATTGCCCCACATGAACGAAGTAACCAAACAATCAAGTTACAGAAGCGAACCCTTTAAATGATGCCTGTTAATATGTTTTTGTAGCAAAAAGAGGGACCAAGGGTATTACCAGAATCATAAAAACAATATTTCTTGCCCTAGCATTAGCAAATTGCCATATTCGCAGATTTCAATCATTGTGTTTGGAAAAGAAGCGAAATCTGGATGTCATACTGTTTCACCGATTTGCAAGTTCGCGTTAGTTTGACGAGTACAGAAAGCCGCGTATACAGACCTTCTGATCTGGCCGATCTGTGAATCTAAGAATCTGCGCTTCTGCAAAATCTAAGACTTGAATTGTTGTGGGAGGGGGGGTACCATATATACATATACACTCACGCACACACATGCCGTGCCTTTGCATGTGTATACTGTGTATGTAGAGTATGTATGTATGCATGTAATGTAAGATATAAACATACAAACAAGTAAATACATACGATGAGCAAATAAGACTGAATATAACAATCATCTGGATCATAAGTATAATATATATATATATGTATGCATACTTATTCGTACAGAGACATGAATATGCATGCGCAAAGCTTGTTGTTTCAGGCCTGGTCATGGATGCTTTGGGGGTCCTACCGCTTTACAAGGATCTGGTCAAGTGTTTCTATGTGGGGGGGTACCGCTTTACTTTTGTGGGTCTAATAGTAGTTGCGCGAGTCGTAAAGGGAAAGTAGCAATAGTCATGTAGGCAAGACCTGTAGACGTAGTATGTAATGGTAGCGACGGTATCGAGAGCCAACCATAAACATGATTCCATCCGATTAGGCAGTGGATCTGGTGGATTAGCGATATAAAGGTTATCGATTGCGGTATCCATTGTCTAGTCACATGGACGATTCCGGCACAAATGCGGCGGCAATGGCATGTCACAACTGAAGATCTTCATCGTATTGCTTTTTGGGCGGATCCTGTTGCTTTTCGAGGTGGTTTTCCAAAACCACCCTGCCCTTGACTAGACTAACGGAAGCTTTTGACGGGCCCGCAAAAGCCAGAAGCATGCCCTCTCTCTGTCTTTTCTGCACTTGCTGGACCTTGTCAAGGAGGCTGTGGACCTCCGTCAGAGCCTCGTTCGTCGGCTTGAAAAGGAGGTTCCCCTTGACGGTGGCCATCCGGGCACGGCGGTTAGGGTTTAGGCTTTGTAGGGTTTCTAGCTTAGGTGTTCAAGGGTGTTGAGGGCTTCTGGGCTTTAGATGTTAGGGTTGCAGTGAAGGATTTAAGGGTGCTGGGCTGGTAGGGTTTGGGCGTTGTGGTATTATGGGTCACTGCTTTTCAGAAGCCTTGCGGTTCGCTAAACTCGGAGCCCTGAAGCCCCGGGAGTCGAGCAAGCGGCAAGCGGTCCAGAAGCTCGCGGGACTTCTCCGACGGGCTGGGCAGGTCTGCAGCTTTCGGTCTGCGGCTTTTCGACGAAACGTGCACTTGGACAGATTCTTCCGTGCTTTGCGAGAAGGTCGTAGGTGGGAACACCCAAAAGCTAGGCGCAAGCTTGGATCTAAGCGACTCGCCCACCCCGAATCGCGGGTCACGAGATTTTTTATATGCGCTTCCTCAGTCCCGGAGAAAAGCACTCAAGGCCTCCTCGGGACTCCATGGGATCAGACATTTCTCCTGTAAAGCCACTTTGGCACGCAAGGTGCGGCAAACCAGAGCTTGCCTGGCTGTGAAACCGAAGGCCACAGCAGACCGTTGGGACTCTTTCTCTCCCCTTACACACTCCTTTTGCTGACGACAGGAAGCTTAATGAAGGCGCACAATATCTTCTCCTTGCTTAATATTAGTTGTTTTCGTCTTTTTTTTCGGATTTACCCAGGTCCCGTGCGGCGAGGCAGGGTTCCTCCTGGCTGTTCTAGTCGCTTTCCTCCAGGTCCTCGTCTGCACCGCGAGGATGGTGCTGCAAGCCTCAAAAAGTCCGCGCGTATATTTTCAAAAGGGAGAGAACTTCAAGGAAGGCCCACTTTAAGAGAGATTTAAAGAAGAGCCCAAGCCCGAGCCTTTACCCAGCTTGCCAAGGACGCAGGTGTTCTGAATGAAATGCAATCCAATCAAGACCCAGAAAACGTTGATGGAGTCGTTGCACAAATAGGCTTCGCCTTCTTGCTGGAGCCGTACGACCTGAATGATGCCGTAGATTCCCAGCCCCACTTGTGCGAGCATCACCATGGATTGGAGCACCAACACCGCCGTCATCCCGCCACCGTAGTGCAAGGCGCTCTCCTGGAGCTCTGACCGGTGCGCCGCGGCGGACACGGAGTGCTGGCCCCCGGCGATCGAATAGGTCTGGCCGGGATGAGACAGGTCTGTAACTTCGCCACAGTACGTGAGCTGATGCCGCTCTATGCCTACAGCTGCCTATCATTCTAATCAGCACAGCGTTTCCGCGAGAAGGGGGGGTTTTTGGGTTCTGGGCCTGGGCATGCTCCTCCATGATCTGGGCCACTGCATGATGGCTCACCGCAAGCCTCAAGAAGAGAGCGAGAGAGGGTGAGAGCATAGACATTTACAGTCGTATTTGGCGAGTTTGTGATAGAAATTGAAGGAAAACGCCTCAGCATCAATACGTCCAAGTGGCATCATCCCCTGCATCAGGTACATGCCAATCACGAGCAGGACCGCCAAGAAAAAGTTGGAGATGCCCTCGAGCCAGAAGTAGAGCGACAAGGGGGCAGTACAGGACAAGGGCACTTTCGTTGAGTACCAAGTGTAGCAGAAGGCCAAGATCAGCACGATGAAGATCAACAGCAATCCGATGCCCAGAATGAACATCGATTGCTTGTGGTTGTCCATGACCGCCTTCTGCGTGGCAGTTCGCCCCACAGGTGTGTAGCCATAGGATCCATTGGACTTCAGCATGCGTCTTACATCTACCAAGTCACTTCCAGGAGCCAGACTGGTCGGCCTCTCCTACTGCGGAAAAGGACTCCTGATGTAAGTCCGCGCTGTCAGAGATTCCACCCGAAGAGAGTCATTTTTCGCTTGTGCGCGGAGAGCTCGCGCTTGGACTAGGCTCCAAGGGCATCTGCCCTGCAAGCCCCTGGTGGGCTTTCGGTGAGACTTTCTTGCAGCAGATGTCTCGAAACCATCATCGAAGGCCAACAATGAGTTTTAGTTAGTTGCGACTGCTGCTCGTGAACTGGAGATGGGCAGGGTATCTTGTTGTCAAGTTTGCATGTTGCTCGAGACATGGTTCTTGTTTTCTTGATCACTTTTCCGGCAGAAAAGGGATGGATGGAAAGAAAGGAATGAAGGCGGAAAGACAGAAAGAAACACAGGGAAAAAACGTGCGCAAGCAAGAAAGGAAAGAAAGCAAGAGATGGGTGCGGCAGAAGGGAAAGAAAGGGGACAAGAACAGAAGAAAGAAGCCAAGGGATTCCACAGCGGACGAAGGGAGGGCAAAAAAGAAACATGAACTGAAAGAAAGAAGCAAACCAAGAAAGACACAAACCAAGGGATGGACAATGGAAAGTAGCAAGGAGGCAAATTCAAAAGGAAAGGGGAAGTGTTGTGATTGCCAGTACTACTACTGACTACTGCTACCCCTACCACGACTACTACCCATATTACAATTCACTACTACTACTACTACTACT